TCAGTGAACGTGCCTTTGTTCCTGCATTACAAGTATGGGTCAACAGGAGGGCCCATTCTTCCTTTTGTGTCTCAGTCAGATCCCCCTTTGTCCAAAGAGAGTCTGAACGGAGAGTTCTGTTGTACCGATCCTATGTGGGACAGGCCCATATGCAGGAATTTCTGGATGGGGTGAGAGCTGCCCCCTGCCCCTATGGCCCAGGCCCACCCCTGGGCGCACTCCTGGATGAGGAATTGGGGAATCAGCCCCAGCCTTCCTTAGCCAGTCAGAACACAGGGGAGGGAGGCAGTGCACCTCCCTGATTTTCCCCAGCTGGCCGGAGCACTGGGGAGGGAAGCTGGGGTAATGTGCCACCCCTGCCTTCCCCAGGTGAGCCAGAATCGGCCCCATGGTGGACCATGAAAAGACCATGGGGGGCTACATTCAAACCCTGTGCACCCCCTCTTTTCCTCCTGTATACAGGCCCATGGGAACTGAGTGCAGGTGGGCACTGAAGGTTGCAAGGAAGCTTCTCTGTGAGGACATGCAAAGGACAGAAATTGGGTATAACCACAGTCCCCTTCCCCACCCTAAACTCAGACTGCTCCAAGTGAATAATTCCATCAGCACTAGCCTCTGCAAAGTGGATGGGAAAAGGGATCATGGCCCTCTTACAGAGCCAATGGATCTGGCCTAATGTGGGCAGGAAGAACGTGCTGTAAGGAACAGGAAGCAGCTAGACTCTTACAGTCTCGAAGAGTTATTGCCACTGAGACTTCCACCTCTGCACTACTTGCACTTGGCTTTGTGTCTTTAAGGCACAATCAACTCCCCTGCAATCATAATATCAATTCACTTAGATCTCTGCACACGATACACATTAAATTTACCACTCAGGTTATGCCAAAGATCATGTGTTATACATTATCCCTCCCCTAAGGAGCCAGCTGAGTTTATTTTCTCAATAGCACATGCTTTCAAGAATCAGCAAATGGACAAAAAACACATACTTGTGCTGATCCTGCTCCTACTCAAGGCAACGCCCAAAATTCTTTTTAAACAGGAACAGATATAGGATTACTGTATTTACCTGATTGATAATGCAAGTTCTAAGGGTCCAAACAGTGCATTAAGAAAACAAACATACCAAAAAACATGTTACGTATATGAGAAGTATGGCCCTAATTCTGATATAATTTTTAAATCAGGGGTAACTTCTTTAAAGTCCATGGATTGGATTTGCATTAAAGCAATACAAGTGTCTGATTCTGGTCTCATTTATGCAGTTAAATAATATACCTTTGAAAAAAAACTTTTAATTACATTTAATTTAATATAAGATCACCAGTGAAACATGGCAAGCTCAATTTTAAGAGAAAACAGTGGTTTATTTCTTTCTTCCTTTATTATGATAAAATAAATGAATTCATACCATGAATTCACACTGTGGCTAGAACTGGTGCATCATTTGATTTTTGCTATGAAAATTGTGCGCCAGAGTTACCATTTTTGGTAACACTTTTGCAACAGATAGTTATTTTTGCATAAAATGTATTTTCATAGACACCTTACATGTATTCACTATAAACTCCATGCTCTTCTGATCCAAAGTATTGTAATGTTGTTTTGATTTGGAAAGATAGGGTGCACTGTACACTGAAATGAGAATACTGAATGCAGTATATATAGTGTAGATTATAGTAGAATTCAAGTCAATTACACAATCACTTCCAAACCTCACAACAACATTTTATTCGCTAGTCTCTACATATTTTCCCCATTCCTGTGACACCACCTGATTATCTTCAAAACAGCTGTACACTAGAAAGCTGCCTGATTACACTTCACAGCTTTCTTCTGCAAGTTTACCCTAGCTTTTTTGGACAGATTAAAACCATATCAGATTAGTTCCTCCATATACACACACAAATATGAAAAGTCACTCGGTACTAGTCTGAAAACAGCGTTGTAAAATTTACAAATCATTGTACAGATATCATGGCTTCCCCCCCCCCCCACACACACAAAAAAGTCTATTTTTGTAACGGAAACTGCCAAACTTACAAAGCACAGTAAGTCAAGTGTAGATTTTTGATTTTATGTTTGTTTTATTAAATAAATTGATCACTAAAGAATGGCACAAGCCTGACAACACAGGAGACTTGATCCCCTCATTTATCCACGAAACTGATACAGAACAAGTAATTGCTTCTCCCACCTCCAGCTTTTCAGGTGGTTCATTCCCATTCTTGAAGGGCCATAAATGTAAGATGGTATTTTGTCTCTCAGTCAGCCTCTCTTCTGTAACTGGCAACAACTATGCTAATTAACGCTAATGTTTAAAGTTTGGATCCATATTAGGCTTGCTCCAATTCCTTAAAGTTTTTTCCATTCACTTTTATAGGAAATTTTAAAAAAAATCCATTTTGCCTCTGCATGCAGAATTTTTCACAAATTGCTATTGTGGTAAAGCTGGCAGATGCCAGAAAAATTTGAAAGCTATGGCTAGCTTCCTGGATCTGATTCTAATCTCACTGAGACTAGTATGAATCAGAATTTAGGTATATAAAACCAAAGTCATAATAATGCCAGGGAAATAAGTGCTTGGCCCCTGTTTGGACTGCATGAGCTGTTGATGGTGAATAAACTTCAGCACTGAATATTATGCCATTTGTCAGCATGTGACATAAAATTGTAACAGTACTGAAACGTACTTGTTCTCTCTGAATATTACTGTCCTCTGAGACATGTATTTACTATGCATTCATTGGTGAATGACCCACTTTTAAAATGTGAATCATATTTACTATAAATATTTATCAGCAAAGACCTGAATACAAGGTAAAACAAGGATTAAGAAAATAAATATTTTAATGATTGATCATCTGTTATTACTCTGTCAAAGAATCAAACCTCACTATTTATATGCATTACTTTATGGTAAAAGCTGCTCTTGCCAGTTCAGGTGAAGGTAACTTTTGCAACTAAAAACTAAGGTGCCGGATACATTAAAAATATTCTTCTTAATGTATAAAGTATTACTCATAAATTTTATTAAAAAAAAAAAACATTTAAACCATTCCCCTTTGAGTTTTAAAGTTTGCTACTGGAAGTAACAACAAGCAGTCTAGCCTAGGTACTTTAAAATATTCACCAAAAATACATTTTTTCCAATCTGAACTCTGGGTTTTATTTTCATCCTGCAAACCCTAAACTGTTTATTTACATTTGAAGTTAGGAGGAGAGAAGGAGGACAGAATTCTCCTTTGCTTCCTGGCAGAATTTTTTAAAAGTTTATAGTATGTTTTTAAATTATTCTGTACTTGCACAATAGGCTGAAAATATAAAATCACCATAAATTGCATGTTGAGTTACAGATTGGGCATTTTCTGCTCATTTTAGACAGTCCAATACTTCACTTAAAGTATATTTTATATGCTTAATAAATGTGTGTTCAAAAAAGAATGACAAAATCTCTGTACACAACACATGCCTCTGAAAGAAACCTGCAATCTATCTTTAGGAGAGTGAGATGGCAGAAGATCATCTGCGTAAATTATCCTCAGTGCTGGTGCTTAAATAGGGTTACCTTTATTTATACCTACAGTCCTAAGCTTAGTTTACAGAAAGACCTCTTCATAAGATTTTTTTTTTAAATCTAAAACAAGCAGGAAATTGATTAATGGTGATGTGTGTGGGGTAGTTTTTTGTAGGGTTTTTGTACATATTGTGTGTGGCGTGTTTTAGCTTATATGTTGGTATACCAAGTGTATGAAGAAGGTATGTTAAGACAGGAGAGAAATATTCCACAAAATAAGCCTAGATGAGCGTACCCTCATTCAAACCTGATGTGTAGGTAGCCCCATGACTGTCTCTCTCAAACTGGTATATCACCAGAGATGCAGTGTCACTTTTCTTTTTCCCCACGCCTACATTTTAAAAAATAAAAGTTGGATTCATCTGAATGCTCATGGGTTTTGGTCCCTAGTTCCCAGATTGTATCATAAAAAGAGAGAACACGCATACTGCCTAGCTTTCCATGTAGTACCAGAGAGAAAACTCTGCCCCCCAATACTTCCTGGCACAACGGTGTCACAAAAAAAGATTCAACACATGAAAACAGCTAAATATTAGTCCTAACCCCTCAATTTCTAATGCCCAAGTAGAAAGCAGTTGTACCTGTTCTAAACAAAAAACACAAATGGAGGAATTTCAGTTTAAATTTGACAGGGTAAGATTCCCCATAATATTTTTCCAGTACTATTTGAGCAGATGCACTGAGGTTCAGATTTTTCAGTAAAGTGGGTTAGCTACACTGGTTTCTAGATAGATTATACACACAGGATCTTAGGGTCAAAATTGCCCAGATCCAGTGGCATCCAGGTGTCAAATACATATTTTTGCAGCCCCATTGTGCCACTGTATGATGAGCTTAAAATATTTTTAGAGAAGTCAAAGCAGCGAACCCCCTTCTTTATTAAGCAGTAGACCTTGGGAAATGAGGGCTAAAAATTAGCAGAATCCTGAGGTGTTGAGATGACAGATCTGAGTCTTTGCCCCATTGCCGTACGGAGTGTGGCAAAAATAGCAGCATAGCTAAACTCCTCCATGTAGTGGAATTTGGATAGTACTGCCTAAAAATGGCAGGACCCACCTACCAGACCCAGGCACCTCTGTTCCAGGATTCTGATTCTTTTGGTACAGTAGAAGCAGCTAGATTTGCTCTTTATTTTAACGATACAATTAAGGGAGGGGGGGGTCAAAAACCACCTGGATTTAGCAACGTCTAAGCAGATCAAGCTTTCCCCCCCCCCTCACTGATTTAGCTTCTCCCCAGACTCAAAGAGCGCAATGTTTTGGGGAAGAGGAAGCAGGAGGCGAATTACCACATGACCATGAATCAATAATAATCAGGATCATTACTTTTGTTTGTTTTAAAACGCACAAAGCATACCTAGTGCTCCCCACAGACAGACACACAGGCACTGACAGACAGGAGGGACCGTGCACAGTAACCATACCCCCAAATCCAGGGCGCAGCCTGTTGTCATAACCATCCAGCAGACTGTTCAGGATGCTTGTAAAATTCTCCGGACATAATTTCTCCTCCTTTTTGATGTGCCCCGGGGGCTCGGTGACGCTGCAGGGGGGACAGACAAGACGTTGTGGCTGCGGGTGCTAACCGGGGGGCAGGCTAGGTTCCCCCTCTGGCCCCTGCCCCACCTGCTGCCTCCGGAGTGGCACGCCCGGGGCCGGAGCGCAGCAGCCGGGAGGCGCTGGAAGGGCAGGTGGCGGCGGCGCTGGCTCGGGGTACTCACCAGGTCGCCAGGCACAGGAGGTGCAGGAGGGTGATGGAGAGACCCGAGGACATGGCGATCGCTAGCTCCTTGGCAGAGCCCATCTTTTTCTGGCCCCTGCCCCACCTGCTGCCTCCGGAGTGGCACGCCCGGGGCCGGAGCGCAGCAGCCGGGAGGCGCTGGAAGGGCAGGTGGCGGCGGCGCTGGCTCGGGGTACTCACCAGGTCGCCAGGCACAGGAGGTGCAGGAGGGTGATGGAGAGACCCGAGGACATGGCGATCGCTAGCTCCTTGGCAGAGCCCATCTTTTC